GGCACAGCACTCTGGTGTCAGGTCACAGATTTGTCTCTGTAGAATTCATTGTAATTCGGATCAGGTCACTTCCTGGTAGAAAAATATCTTCTGAACCAGTGACCTTCATTTATTTCAAATGTCACCCTGCTGTTTACTTCAGAATACTTTGGAATCTTGATTCAGGTGTCATTGTTCAAATCGAAGAAAAAGAAATACAAGGCTCCTATGTGATGGGTGGACAAGGACAAGAAATAATTGTGGCTCCCTTTGACCTTGATTTACTCACCTACTGGTCCGTACAATAGCTTCAATATTTCAACTAGAGAATTGATAAATATCCAGGTGTTTGCTTTCCCATTAACAGCTGGAATTCAATAAGAATGAGTAGAATGACCACTGGTCACTGTTGGTCAGTGATAAATATGTCCAGTGTTGACCGCCACAATATTTCTCTTGGTCTTTTCTTGCTAATTAAATACAGAGTCTTAAAAATTTTGGGTCTTTTTCGTTCAGTTTGCCTTAGACTGTGAAGAAATCTTAGTCAATGTTACAAACACTATAGAAATTGTCTTCAAGATTTTATGAAGGAGGTTGAACATTCTGATAAACCTACAAATAAATGAATGTCAGGATGTTGCATAAGAAAACTAGGTCACTACGACATATATTTTAACTTTTGAAAAGTATCTTTAAACTTTAATTGGCTTTGTGTACCTTGCCTATAATAAATTCTTGAAACACTAGTTATGGATTGAGTATGTAATAGGAGATGGAAAAATGTAAGGCCAGACCAGGGTTCGAACCCGGGACCCTCCATACTCTAGACGGACGCTCTACCAATTGAGCTATCTGATTGCCGACAACCAACCCAGTCCAGTCCGCTACATTCCTCCCTACTTTTAACAAATTCTTAGACACAGAAGAAGTGCACAGCTAGACCAGAGGGTTTGAACCACGGACTCTCCGAACTATTAGATCGGAAGCTCTACCAATTATGCTACCTGGTCGTCAGTCATTGACCCAGTCCAGTTCCCTAACAAGTAAATTCCTACAATCATAAATGTAGGGGTTTAAAGTAAGTCAAAGAAAACTACATTCCTGTAGTATTTGTACTTGCTATGAGGACTATAAACTGTCCTTCTTGAAGTGACGTTTTGGGAGGGGCTGTAAAATCTATCTATACAGTGTCAAGACCTTGTTTAGCTCATTCACCCCTGAAGACACATTTGAACTCCTCCTATTCATAGGTTGGAATAGTTCATTATGAAATTTCAGTGGTGAATGCATGGGTTTAACTTGGTTCTCATCATTTTGGAAGGACTTTGGACCTGTTATCCTGGAATACAAGGGCTAGATTGTCCGCACAACACACCCGCTAATGACATTAAAGGGTACAGGACACATCAATAGGGAACGGAAAAAATAAAATAATGTTAGTCCAAACAGAGAGCTCTGTAAACAAGTTTATAGCTGTCGTTTTCAATACTTGAAATGCCTTCCAGGATAAAAGAATTTGAATAGTCACCAGAACAGGTTTTCCTCGTCAGATATTCCGAGTGATTAGAGTTACCCTATGAGGACACATATCGTAGGTAGGACACCGGCACATATTATCTCTGTATTATTATCTAAATTTATTCAAATCTTTGTGTGTTAATGTCATCCAAACTTTTTATGTGATAGTTACACATGGGTTTTTTTGTACATTTTTGGCTGATTCTAAATATTCTAACATCTTTAAAAAGAAGGTAAATCACACACTTTCTGACTTTTCTTAATACAGAGTCAGTATTGTATATCATTCAATGAATTTCATGTGTTCCACATATTTTAATGAATTTATCAGAAAATTGTAAAAAGGATTTTCCAAAATGTAGTTGTTATTGAAATATTTTTTGGGAAATTAACTCATTCACCCCTGAAGACACATTTGAACTCTTCCAATACAAAGTTTGGAATAGTTCAAATTTCAGGGGTAAATGAGTTATTGGTAAAAACTGCAATTGCACAAAACACTAAAGTATAACTGACATTCCATAAGTAACTATTTGCAAATGTAAATGCATTCTTACACACTATAACAGCACGCGTGTACATGGGTGTGTTCTTACACATTATAACATCACGCATGTTCATGTGTGTGTTCTTACACACTATAACATCACGTGTGTTCATGGGTGTGTTCTTACACATTATAACATCACGCGTGTTCATGGGTGTGTTCTTACACACTATAACATCACGCGTGTTCATGTGTGTGTTCATACACACTATAACATCACGCGTGTTCATGGGTGTGTTCTTACACATTATAACATCACGCGTGTTCATGGGTGTGTTACCTGTACAACAGTATATAGCAGATCGGATCGCATAATGCTTACCTTCAATTTTACCTACCAGTATTTCGTACAAATTTTACCTGTAATCAATATATATAATATGTATTTGGTCATCTTGATGATGGACCGGTACATGTTAACATGGAATCTGTGTTTTCAGTAGGTTAAATACCCAAACAAAATATGTTCTTGGTAAAGTTTAACTTATAGTGCTACAATACTGTAAATGTTCGTCAAATTTTGACTGTCATAAAATACCTTAGGTATATACCTTGGTTTATCCCCATAAAAAAGTAACATAACTACAAAGTGTAATAAGGTCATCTTATACAGCAGTTTTTGTAAAGAGATGATAATATGGAGACATGATTTACAGTGAATTTTATTTTATACAAGATTTATGGAGTTTACCGTAGTTGTTGTAAGTTGTGGTGAGCAGGTAAAGTGGGTGTAACGACATTATTGTGCACCAGGTAACTTCAAAGGATCCATCTGATTCTCACCTGTACAGGTGTGATTTATATGTTGACATTTCAGGTAAAAAAAAAATCGAAACAAATATTTGGTGAGGTCTGAAATCTCCCCCCTATATTTTTTATAAAGGTTAGAATAGTATGTACATACTGGCTTGCTGTGCTTGCTCTAGTTGTTCTACTAGGTGACATTTTAAAGTAACAGGTATTCAAATTTTAGTGCTTGTATTTACCTGCCCGAGAGCAAGTTATGCAATCACAAAAATATTTACAAAGCATGCCTGTGAGTGTGTAAAATGGGTCACTATATCGACCAATACACGATATAGGGTCGTTATTCATTAACAGACTTTACGATAGTCATGAGTCAGGTTCGTAACCTCTATACCTGTATTCGATTGCATTATCGACCATATATGTACCAGAGGTTTTTCTAGTATACATTTCATTTGACAGCAATTACTTGTTTGATTTTTGCAATATTTTTTTATGTTAGAAATCAATTTCCATTTGTACTTTATGAGGTTTTGTCAAATTCGTTGAAATAAATCACACATTATTGAACAAATAAAAAGTTTGAGTTGAAGGTTAATTGATGAAATTTCTTTTTAAATATAAATTTTAAGTTTGATCAAGACCCTGTTATTCAAAGATTGATCAGCAGAACCAGTCATCAACACTGATGTTTTATTCTATATTAAACGTTTATCTGGAAATATACAAATATGTTTGTGTTATAATTATGTCTGCAGATGGTCATCCTGAATTTGTCAACATGTAATTTCTGTAAAAGTATTTAAAGTTTTGTAAAATACACGATTCAAGTTATCGGTTAAGCTGTCGTTAAGCTATCCATGCCCTGTAAAACTTGATGCAGCAGCAAAGAGAAAGAGGCACAAAGGGTGCAAAGTACCAGGAAAATACAATTGCAAATTAGTTTCTCTTTTAATCAAAGAAAATACAAATGCTTTGAAACAAATGAATTTCTCAAAAAGACATGCACAGTAATACAGATACATTTGTATCTCAAGGAAACATCTTATACTTGAATTAGTCATTCACCCCTAAATACACATTTGAACGCTTCCAATTCAAAGGTTGGAATAGTTCATTAGGAATTTTCAGGGTTGAACGAGTTAATATAGGGAAAGAAATAAAGGGTTTACTTTATGTCATAATAAACTGGATTCTTCTACAATAGAAGTATCTGTTTTCACTGTTCAGACACTGTCTGAGAATCTTTTTCTGTTAGTGTGCAAATTAAATGTGATGAGAAAATGATGACATTTGTGTTCTTCAGTTGTTGAAGAGCTCTTCTAGGGGAAGTATTTCGGAGATAGGGATGTGTGTTGACGATTGTACCAAGTCAGTGCCTATCTCAGCATATAACTTACACTGTCTGTATGACAAAGTCTCAAGTTACCTAGTGCGATCGCCTTTTGTCCATCGTCGTAAACTTTACTATAGTTTATATAGGGAAATCACATTTTGGACCAACATTTGTTTAATTTCCATTGGATTAATTCAAACTTAGTTAGCATTATCAGTATTGGATACAAGGTTAATGGTACGACATATCAGCCCTGACTGACCCCCAGGGGCTGATCGGTGGGGCCAAAAGGGTCAAATTGATATGGTAGAATCAAATACTCCTCATAGATGGAAGGGTCTTAAGGTGCTTCTGAATTCCAAACGATAAGCTCACACTCCACCAGATCAACTCCTGAATCCCTGGATGCTGTCTCAAATTACCATAATTCAGCTGACTGATAGAACCACTATTTGTACATAGTACATATACTACCCAGATCTTTCACACTACTTTTGCATTACATGTAGTTCAAGTTATCTTTGTTACAAAATTATTTCTTTTTCATTTGGCAACATCGATAACATCAGTTTTTACATAACTCAGGTGACTTTTAAGGCCCATGGGCCTCTTGTTTATATTCAAAATGAACTTTTACGTTATAAATATTTTCTTAATTTTACAAAACGTAGATTATATTTGTGTGTTTAGTAAAGGATAACTTTTGTAGATTACACTCATCAGTGATAAATTTGTTTGATGAACATTCACTCTATAAATACTCTGGTAATTAATGTAATTAAAGGTCCAATACAGATTGTATGTATTGTAATAGTTAAATGTCCGATACAGATTGTATTTATTGTACATGTGAATTTATTTTATTTTTTTCAGAAACATGAAGCAGTGAAAAAGTACCAGTATTCCCCTAGAGAGGTCAGTATCCATTGCTGTGAAAAAAATAGTCGGAAAGAGTCATGAAGAACTCTTTGTCAAAGTTTAAAATCTTTGTTTAAATTGAAATAGTTGATGATATACTGTATACCGCGAAATTTTCGCCCAGTCAAACTTTCGTCCTTCGCCCATGAAATCATTTTTCGCCCAGTGATAATTTCGCCCATCACATTAAATTACAATGTTGATTATGCTGTATACTTACATTCGCTGTAATGATTAATTCGTGATTAAAAAGGCGAAAATTAAACTGTAGCGCAAATTTCCTGTACCCAGTACATGATTAACATTTTAAAAAATAAAATAAAAGATAAGTGATCATTTGACAATGCTGTACTTATAGTGATGTGGATGTGAGGTTTTATTAACCCTATGTGGTAAAATGTTATTAACCTGTTACGTTGTATTTTCAGCCTCCGGCGTCAGGCTCCAACACACCAGGCGCAAACATGTCTTCCCTACGAGACATGATAAACAGGTATGACAGCTCTGGAATGGTTCCAAGGCTTTGTCTAAATTTTTGAGACAAATTTATTTTTGAAAAACCTTCTAGAACCATCCCTCTGAAAGCTTAATATTTTCATAGATTTTCAAATCAATTTATTATTAAAAATCAAAGGGACTAATTTAGCCACATGAAAATACTGTATTTCCTTTCAAATGTGAAGATTTTTCATGGAGTTAAGCACTGGAGACCAGACGGATCTGTTGTTTGAATGTCTATCTAAATTTAGGTTCAAATTCCTGTTCGGCCAGTTAAATATTTTGCTTTCCTGTATTAAAAATAAATAATATTTACATAAGTAGTTCACCATACAAATCCTTTCTGTCGTGAAACTTGCATAATCATTTGTCGTTTTAAGAAAATATAAATGCATTGTTCAAACCAGACAATTAAAAGGAACAGCTTCATATTATATGACACTGCTATAGCTTAACCGTTTGTAATGTTTCAGGGCACAGGTAGAAGAGGACCACCTTGTACTAGACCTCGTATACATCACGGAAAGGATTATCTGTAAGTTATGTCTCACACTCCAGATTTAAAATCTAATGTGTGATATAAAAAAAAAATCTTAAGTATCTGAAACGAGGAATAATTCAGAATTTTGTGTTCCTGAGAGGAGTTATCTGATTTAGTGTAAAACATTTGGTTTCATTGGTTGCAGTGGAACTCTGAATGTCTTCCTGATTTCTTCCTGATTTAACTGACTCAAGAAGAAATATTATAACAAATTACAAAAGTTTATACAAAAATAAACATATATTTCATTTCTACCTGAAATAGCTAAGAACTTGTGTTCATTCTGTAGTTTGAAGAGTTAGTGTAAGGGAGGTATTCAAGCAAACATAAAAAAAAAATTCTCACAAAATTCTTTAATTTTTGCAGCATCTGGGATTTTTATAAACACAATTTTTTTTGTTTATAATTTGCTATTAATGAAAGATTATGGGTAAAGAGAGAAATTTTCATTGAATTGACATTTTTGTTTCAGCGATGTCCTTTCCATCAGATGAACATGAAGTCACATACAGCTACAACCTGAAGGAGGTGATGAACATGCTCCGAACGAAACATGACGACAATTGTTTGGTGAGTACTCTCAGTGTAGACGCACCAGAACAATCTGGTTATTTGGTCGTCAGCTGAAGAAATGCATAAAATGGAAGTTTTTAAAATATCATATGTCTTGGAATATAAAAGTTTTTCATGTTTATTGCCTTCAGATCATGATTTTAATCTAAACACAATGTTTTAAATTATGTTATTTGACAAAAAAATCAATAAGCTATACAGAATGTATCAAAATGTTTTAAATTTTACTCCTCACCAAACCTGTTGACGTTCAACCCTTACATTACCAATTGACCTTTACCCGTACAGGTCATCAACCTGTCAGAGCCAAGACAAGACCTGGAGAAATTTAACCCTAAGCATGTGATAGACTACGGTTGGCCTGACTACCTGGCCCCTCCCCTGGAGCGCCTCTGTAACATATGTAAGGCGATGGACTCCTGGCTGAGCACCGACCCACGTCACGTGGTCGTCGTACACTGCAAGGGCAGCACGTCGCGTATCGCCGTCATCATAGCAGCCTTCATGCACTACTGTAGCATCTGTGCTAGGTGAGGAGGAGGATATATTTTTTTTGTGTTTTACGTCCTATTTACAGCTATGGTCATTTAAGAACATGCCAGATATTTTTGGTGGAGGAAAGCCGGAGTGCCTTTAATAAAAACACTAACCTGAGGACAGTAACTGGCAACTGCCCCATGTAAGCCTCGAACCCACTCGGCCACCGTGGTTCCCGATGAGGAGGAACACAGGACAACATAAGCATTATGTAGAACTTCATTTTGGCAGACATTTCATTACACTATATTCAATGGATGTAGAAATAAATGAAATATTTACACTGTAAAAATGTGTTAATTTTCTAACAGAATAAGTTAGCAATATTGACAAAAAGTTAATGCGGGGTAATTAAACTCTGCTAATTTGTGTTAGTATTCCTTAGAAAGCATGGAATATCACTACAATAAGTGGATACCATTTGATCAGAATTGTTTAAAATCTGATAATCACCTGAAATTTTTACTTAGTATCTGGAAAAGAAATTGATTTCCACCAAATGAGGCTATTATCAGTTTAAAAAGATGAATATGCTGTTGTGTTGCTAAATAAGTCACATAGAACTGTGGAGACTGTTACAAGGGAAGTAACTCTGACATTATCTTATTTCAGCGCTGACCAGGCATTAGACAGATTTGCTATGAAAAGGTTCTATGATGACAAGCTAGGGGGAATAACTCTTCCCTCCCAAATCAGGTTTGCTGATTTACTCATTATTTGATTGCAACATTCCATAAGCTTAATCTAATAACAATTTCTGTGTTTAATTTCTGCAAAATTTTAAGAAGCAAAGAAAATTGTTAAAATATTCTTTCAATTAATTTTGAATAATATTTTTCAAAATGTGGTCTTCAATTAATGTTATTTTATATTGTTGCATATTTTTTCAAAATTAAAAATCATCTAAATTTTCACAAGAGTCGTATCTTTGTGATAGTTCTTACAATGAGTTTATTGCAAAGATTTTTTTTTCTCAAGTTTTTTCCTATCGAAATAAGACAACAAATTTTTAAATAAAATCTAAATATTGTAAGTTTGTTTCTCTGTTTCCAGATACATAGAATATTTCTACGGCCTGCTATCGGGTGCAATAAAGATCAACAGTAACCCGCTGTACCTCCACCACATTGTTATACATGGGGTGCCTAACTTCGACACACAGGGGGGGTGTCGGCCCTTTATCAAAGTGTACCAGGGGATGCAGAACATCTTCACGTCGGGCGTCTAGTAAGTATCTATCTCATTATCAGTTAACGCTGGTGAACATGGTGATTTAACAAGGATAACTAATTCTCTGGTAACTTATTGATTATGTCATAATGTATTGTTCCTGATCACATGACCTTCATCGTCACTCAAACCGTGTTGTGTAAAAGTCTAAGAAGTATTGTGCCCTGATGATGGCTGTCTAACGGGCCGGAACATGTCAGCAACCAGGCTAAGGAAGATGATACTTGATGGAATCAAGGCTTCATGATGCTACTTTTCTTGTTTCAAATGACTTTTTAAGAGCCTGGGCTCTGTGTACCATAAGGTATCCTCCTGAAATCAAAAATATGAATAATAACATGTTGAATTACTGGACCTTGGTTCTTTGGGATCTTCCTCTACTTCTTTAGTCTTAATAGATAGAAATGTAAGTACATGTATAACCATTTATGGAATATATCAAGTCCAAACAGCAATATTAAGAGAATCTTTCATTGGTTAATTTCAACCTGCCAATGTGGGACAGGCTTATGACAACCTGTTTTCGAGATCACATTCACTTAGGGTCTTTAATAGCAAGAATGTGACTGGAATCACATGCAAGCATGTGTTCGTGTTGTTAGATAAATGTCAAATATCTGGTACCTATTGGTACAGCTAGGTAGACTAGGATATGTATTTTACACAGCTGCCTCTGTTGTTCAAACAGTTCATTTAAAGTATTAATAGCAAGAATGTGACCGGGATCACATGCAAGCTTGTGTACCTGAATGTTAGATAAATGTCAAATATCTGGTACCAATTGGTGCAGCTAGGTAGACTAGGATATGTATTTTACACAGCTGCTTCTGTTGTTCAAACAGTTCATTTAGGGTAGTAATAGCAAGAATGTGACCGGGATCACATGCAAGCATGTGTACCTGAATGTTAGATAAATGTCAAATATCTGGTACCTATTGGTACAGCTAGGTAGACTAGGATACGTATTTTACACCGCTGCCACTGTTGTTCAAACGAACAGCATTTTGGTCAGTAGGGCATCACTTCACTTTTTGCTACATCGTTATGCACTGGAGTTAACACTGAGGTAAACTGGAGTTAACACTGAGGTAAACTTGAGTTAACACTGAGGTAAACTGGAGTCAACACTGAGGTAAACTGGAGTTAACACTGAGGTAAACTGGGGTTAACACTGAGGTAAACTGGGGTTAACACTGAGGTAAACTGGAGTTAACACTGAGGGAAACTGGAGTTAACACTGAGGTAAACTGGAGTTAACACTGAGGTAAACTGGAATGCACTACAATGTTTTGTCTAGTGCACTATCATGCTGACTACCTGTGCACTAGATATCAACTTAAGTTTGTACCTGTAGGAAAGGTACGTTATAGCAGCCGAAAAACAAGGAAGGTAGTACAGGAAACCGACAATAACTTTACATTTGGCTTTAGCATACATGACAGTGAAAATGGTCCAAACAAAATTTGATACTGTCAAACTTTGTTTTTTCAATGACAGAGATTTAGAGTATCTGGGAACTGAAGACCATCATCTGTAAGCAATCAAACAATGTTCTTATTTTCAAATATATTAACTCATTCACCCCTACATATTTAAGCTGGACTTGCCCAGTCTTTGATTTGGTAAGGTTCAAATGTGACTTCAGGGGTGAATGGGTTAAAAGGAAAGTAATTTAGAAGCATATCTTGGTGTCTGATGTAACTTCTTCCAAATGAGTTTAACCCTTTCACCACTGTAGACCATAATTGACTCATGTGTGGTAGAGTTTATTAAAGTTACATAGGGGTGAAAGGGTTAACCAAGGACCACATATTTCTAGTCCAATGTTCTTCTGATAATTCCCTATGGCCACAAGTCAGTCACGAGGTATGAGGTGGTTCACCTGTATGACATCTTTTATTGACCTTTAGCAATGACCTTGGAAAATGCTGACCATTGAGTTAGTAGTATAGCTATATAGATCAGAGGTGGTCTTGCTAATTGTGACCACCTACTATGGTCAGTTGTGTAAGTGTGACCCTAATTAAACATGACCACTACATGCATTCCTCAGATGAGATAGTGTTGGACATGCTGTTTGGGTGGGTCAGTCATGTGATCTGAGAGGGAGGGACAGAGTGTATACTAGGTAGGAAGTACAGGGATTGAGGGGGTGGATGTAACAACTGACCACACAGTAGGAGGTCAAGGAAGTCAAGATATCCTTACAGATTACATACTTACTAATTCCTTCTTGTCATGTCCTATTTTCAAAGACTTGATGGAAAATATTATAGGTACTGGTGTATGTTTGTGGAAAATAGTGTAGGTCCTGGTGTTTGTGGAAAATAGTGTAGGTCCTGGTGTTTGTGGAAAATAGTATAGGTCCTGGTGTTTGGAAAATAGTGTAGGTCCTGGTGTTTGTGGAAAATATTATTGGTCCTGGTGTTTGTGGAAAATAGTATAGGTCCTGGTGTTTGTGGTAAATATTATAGGTCCTGGTGTATGTGGAAAATATTGTAGGTCCTGGTGTATGTGGAAAATAGTATAGGTCCTGATGTATGTGGAAAATATTGTAGGTCCTGGTGTATGTGGAAAATAGTATAGGTCCTGGTGTATGTGGAAAATAGTGTAGGTCCTGGTGTATGTGGAAAATATTGTAGGTCCTGGTGTATGTGGAAAATAGTATAGGTCCTGGTTATGTGGAAAATATTGTAGGTCCTGGTGTATGTGGAAAATATTATAGGTCCTGGTGTATGTCCTGGTGTTTATGGAAAATATTCATCAACGAATGTTTCGCAAAAAGTACAACTACTGTACAGAGGTAAAATTCAAATTTAAAATATTATTTCTCCATCTTTTAAATTCACATAAAAAAGGACAGGAAAATTGATTAAAGGGAAAAGTCATTGATTAAAAATGTGAATTCACCGTCTTTAGAATTTACATAAAACGGACATGAAAAGGACAGGAAATACTTCATTTTAAGAAAAAGTCATTCATACAAAATATTATTTCTTACAGAATTTGTGTTGACTTCTTTATCATACGTACACAAAACGCAGAGGAGCCATGGGGATAGATCATTATTTCAAACAGAAGTTGGAAAAGTTTCAAATATTTATGCCCCAGGAATAAAAACTAAATCCTCACGATTGCATGAAGATTACTTGGGATGTTTTAAGACTTTGGCATACACCAAAATTTCTAAATAAATCGAGAGATGAGTAGTTAAATCAAAAGCAGGAGGGATATGAGGGGGGACTACACACCACGGGGATCCCCTTATCAGGCCTAGCACACAGGCCTGGCAGATCAGGCCTACTCAGAGATGTTACAGAAATTTTCCTCCTTGTGGGGCTCCAAAAGGGGAAATTCTATGTTCTAGATTCATCGATGTGATAATTTCAAAGAGCTTCTTTTTAGTATTGATATAACAGCTTGTGATTATTATATCATATGGTTTAACCTTTTCACCACTGTAGACCATAATAGACTCGTCCATATCAATACTTGGTATAGAGTCTACTAAAGTTACATAGGGGTTAAAGGGTTAATATATCAGTTGTGTTGATGTGTCCCCAATACAAGGGTTTTATGTCAGGTTATCCAAGTTGTCAGTTAGGTAAGGTGCCAGATAAGAAATGTTTCTGAATATTGAGGTGATATTTGAGTGAGGTGTCTGAAAGTTAAGATGCCAGGAAAGTAGTGTCATATAGCTGATATAAATTAGAAAATTAAGATATATCTGTAATGAGTTTGTAATTTAACATGACAGCTGAAGTGTCAAATAAGTAAGGTGTTGGAGAGTTGAGACCGTGTCAAATAAGTAAGGTGTTGGAGAGTTGATCAAATAAGTAAGGTGTTGGAGAGTTGAGACAGTGTCAAATACGTAAGGTGTTGGATAGTTGAGACAGTGTCAAATACGTAAGGTGTTGGATAGTTGAGACAGTGTCAAATACGTAAGGTGTTGGATATTTGAGACAGTGTCAAATACGTAAGGTGTTGGAGAGATGTGACAGTGTCAAATAAGTAAGGTGTTGGAGAGTTGAGAAAGTGTCAAATACGTAAGGTGTTGGAGAGTTGAGGCAGTGTCAAATACGTAAGGTGTTGGATAGTTGAGACAGTGTCAAATACGTAAGGGGTTGGAGGGTTGAGACAGTGTCAAATACGTAAGGTGTTGGATATTTGAGACAGTGTCAAATACGTAAGGTGTTGGAGAGATGTGACAGTGTCAAATAAGTAAGGTGTTGGAGAGTTGAGACCGTGTCAAATAATTAAGGTGTTGGAGAGTTGATCAAATAAGTAAGGTGTTGGAGAGTTGAGACAGTGTTAAATACGTAAGGTGTTGGAGAGTTGAGACAGTGTCAAATACATAAGGTGTTGGAGAGTTGAGACAGTGTCAAATACATAAGGTGTTGGAGAGTTGAGACAGTGTCAAATACATAAGGTGTTGGAGAGTTGAGACAGTGTCAAATACGTAAGGGGTTGGAGGGTTGAGACAGTGTCAAATACGTAAGGTGTTGGATATTTGAGACAGTGTCAAATACGTAAGGTGTTGGAGAGTTGATCAAATACGTAAGGTGTTGGAGAGTTGATCAAATAAGTAAGGTGTTTGAGAGTTGAGACAGTGTCAAATAAGTAAGGTGTTGGAGAGTTGAGAAAGTGTCAAATACGTAAGGTGTTGGAGAGTTGAGGCAGTGTCAAATACGTAAGGTGTTGGATAGTTGAGACAGTGTCAAATACGTAAGGGGTTGGAGGGTTGAGACAGTGTCAAATACGTAAGGTGTTGGATAGTTGAGACAGTGCCAAATACGTAAGGTGTTGGAGAGTTGAGACAGTGTCAAATACGTAAGGTGTTGGAGAGTTTAGATGTCTCATTAAGTAGGGTGTCAGATAGTTCAGATGTCGGATATAAAATGTCCATAGCTGGAATTTCTGATGACAAAGGTTTAAAGCATTGGAGAGCTGATATATGAGATGAAAAAGTTTTGGATATCTGATTTATTACATCAGTTAGGTAAGTGGTATAGTAGTTACATGTACTGGGTGAAGGTCAAGGTTGTGTTATAAAGGTCATACCTGTTACAGAGTTCAAGACCTTTAGAAAGGTCGAAGCTGTGCTTTACAGGTTAAGACGGTGTTGTCAAGGTCAAAGTCATGTCGTCAAGGTCAAAACTGTTATAAAGGTCAAGGCTGTATTATCAAAGTCAAGGCTGCCTTTTCAAATGTTAAACTGTTCTAAAAAGGTCAAGGATGTGTTTTGATGGTCAATGATGCCTTATAAAGGTCAAGACTGTTTTAAAAGTCCACGATATGTGATTAAGGTCAAGGAAGTGTATGTAATAAAGGTCATAATTATGTTGGCTTCCACATAGCCATTATAGATAAGGATAGCTGTCTGATGGACATTTTGTGTATTAGGGTCAGTTTGTAGTGACAACTTGATCAAGTTGAATCAGAGGCTTTGTTCTCCAGTTAGAAACCCTTTTAATAGGAGGCTTTGTAGTGTTTTGAAATAAGATAATGAAGGGATTTTGTTTTTTTGTTTAACTCCTACATAAAATGATTTACTTTGCTATGCTCTGTTAGAGTAAGTTAAACCAATAATTAGATATATTACATATAGTCAAAGTTATCATGAGACAGTTAGTGAAACTATTTACATCTACAGATTTACTCTTTACTCATTACCAAGTGTCCTCCTTTGATTGAATGTAAATCATGCAGCACAAAATAAACTAAAATAGTGTTTGTTTTAACTATTAGTCATGGGCGGGGGGGGGGGGGGGGGGGGGTGGTAAGAGTTCCCCACTTGAAGAGCGATGTGTTTACTCATTGTATATATGGCAACTGGTTGTTTGTGTGGGTCGGTGACTCAATGGTTTGTTATTTCATACTTAATTGGGAGGGGAAAGAAATTAGCTTTAAATTTAAACCTGTCAAATATTCACTTGAGTGTGGCTATTAGATAGAAAAAGTTTATACATTTCATATACTAAACTATAAGTAGAACTAAATTATCGGAGAAAACATAAATATCATCTTGAATGAATTGAAAACTGTATAGAGTGCTATATATAGGTGGAGGCATGAGTTTTGTTTTATGTGGGGGACGTCCCAGGTAATTGGACGGTATATACAGAAGATTGATGGAACTTCTAGAGTATAAATAGCTACGTAATCTACAGGAATAGCTTGTGGATAGGAGAAACAGTCTTTAAAAAAAAAAGATTATTTTATTTTGTTGAAGGGAAAAAAAGATTTGTAACTAATCCCATAGGGTGAATGAAATGTTGGTATGGTGTAACTTCTTTGAATGGACCCAGAAACCAGAGACTTTATAATCTGGAAACCTGTACAAACTAGACCTGTGTTATCAGGAAACTATTTAATAAACTAGACCTCTCTAATCTGGAAACCTGTATAAACTAGACCTGTGTTATCAGGAAACTATTGAATAAACTAATCTGAAAACCTGTATACAGAAGATTATGTGATCTAGGCATCTCTACAAACCAGACCCTCTATAATCTGGAAATGATTTAATCAAGACCTCCATTTGAATCCTAATGTAGACATTTTTATATCAATTTAACAGGTGTAATCCAAGCCTGGAGTAATCCAGACCTCCATTTAGCACCAGGAGTTGTGCATTTTTTTTAAAGGATGTCCAAATTTTTCAAAAAATTATGCTTCAGCATATTTGGCAGAAATAGGCTTTTGGATATGCATCAATTTTTAGATCAATTGATGTTTTCTAAAAAAAAAAAAAAAGGTCAGCTCAAAACATATTTCATATGAATCGTTTGAACTTTGAACGACTGTTCTATTATATGAACTTAGATACTGAAACTGAAGTCAATACATCATTGTTCCCTCCTGTCCTTACTGGTATTAACTTAAAGTATTATTATATACATGTTAGTACAAGTAGATGCATCAATAGTATGACTAAAATATAGACATTGACAGTGGTGGGTTTCCGTTGGCATCATTCCTGAAGTGTCTGTTACCCCTGTGGCGGGCCCCTCGGTAACTAGATACAGAAGATGATACAAACAGTAGGCTATTTTTGGCAGCAAAGACTTCCTGCTTGCCATAGAGATAGAACCAACTAGTCCAAGTCTTCATCACTACCCCATCTTAGTCCCCCATCTTTACCTCTGGATCTCCTCCCTGTCCCCATCTTTGCCCCCTCCCCCTTCCTCTCCCCCCTCCCCTCCCTACCTCCTCCTTACCACCCTCATTCCCTGATCTATTTATACCCCCTCCCAGTCATTCATTCTCTGATTCATAAAACAGTGCTATAGTTTACAAGAATTCCAGAGATCCAGATTTGTTTTGCTGACATAAGATATAACGGAGAAGCCTGGAGGTTTTGTGCCAGAAACATCTAAATTGAACCAATTTATATTCCTGGGGATTCATCAGGCCGGTGCCTTACATATCCTCGGATTCCATATTGGATTTTTCCTGTTACTTTTAGACTGTTCTAAGTGCATCTGTAGGGAAAGCAGGTGTTCAACTAAAAACATTTGGTGTCCATAGGATTGTAGCCAAGATGCACATTTCTTATACTGCCCCTTGTTACACGGTCATTAAGAGACCATTTTACCATTTCATTCATTAAACGTTTTCATTATTGAAAACATTATCGTCAAGTTTTATGTATCTGTCAAAAAGGGGAATAATTCAAGCCCCCATTCTTTTTTCAGTGATCAAGGTCAAGGTCATCAACAGTTTTAATGTTCCCATTGGATTGGTTTTATAGTAAACTGAACCTGTGTTTAAGAGTCCACCTGTACATGTGTTTCAGTCATGAGTTGGCTCTTAATCAGAGCAATTATTAACTCATTCACCCCTGAAGACACATTTGAACTCATCCAATTCAAAGGTTAGAAAAGTTCATTATGAAATTTCAGGGGTGAATGAGTTAAAAGACAAGTGATCTGTCGAATTAAGGCTGATGAGCACTTGGTCATGTAAAGTAGGTGGACTGCTTTTAATAAAAACAATTCAAGAAATTTGGGTCTATATGAATTGTGGTTACTAATTTATACAAGTATTAAATGGTAATAGGGAATAATTACCACCACTCTAATGTCACTGTCGCCCCCACCCCTACCTCTGCCCCTTACCCCAACCCAAACCCCCACCCTACCCCCGCCCCCAAACCCAGCTAACCGCTACTGTGAGCATGATTCCTGATGCAGGTGTTATTTACCTAGTATGGTATGATAGGTCAGGACCTTACATTCCAAATGAAATGCAAAATATCCTTATCTTTGTTCCTTCAACTACGCTTCTTTATCCAATCGTTCATCGCAAAAAGATTTCCTGTCGAAATGTTCAAATCTCATTTCTCCTCGCTATTCCTGATAAAATTGAACAGTGAAACTTTTACGGAGATAAGATTAGGTAATTAAATTAGTAGGAAAGATAAGCATTCTTTAAAAGCCGGAAATATCGTGACGTAAATGATATGCAGGATGGCATTTACTGGTGAGGTGGATGATTCAGCTGACAGGTCTTGGTGAATGGATCTCCTATCCTAGCCGATGCAAGCTTTCATATGATACAGATGTTGGTGTTCAAGCATGCATGAGATACAGGTGCAGGTTATCGTAGATCCAGACCTGTTTTATTTACATCTCTACATCCGTCCATTTTCAGTGATTCTAGAGCACATGGACTGGCATTTTTACTTAAAAAATAAAAACATTTAGGACAAAGGTGTATTTTACACATTAAATTTACTCCTATGATAGGGAAGATGGTAACTTCACTTCCTAGGCACTCTCAATCTCTATCCTTAAAATAGAAAAGTTTGTATAAATTTTGTTTTGACCATTTTCATAATTTTGTATGCTTGGCCAATTGAAAAACATTTAGTCTATTCACATACTAACAATGCCATTTCCCATATTACCATCGCCATTTCCCATATTACCATCGTCGTTTCACATACTACCATCGTCATTTCCCTTACTGCTATCGTCATTTCCCATATTACCATTGTCATTTCCCATACTACCATCGTCATTTCCCATACTACCATCATCATGTTCTGGCTACCATTACATACCTTCCCATCAAGTATCATATAGCAGAAAGTGTGCTGTGTGATGAACCTTTGACAACAAGGTCGTACATTTGTGCCTTTTGTCCGCTGAAAACTGTAGTTTAGTTACTCAACAAGACACATCGCCCAGATTACTATAGTCTACCTAGCTGTTTCAAATAGCAGCAGGTTGTTGGAAATCAATTCTTCACACTTGAAATTCCAGGAGAGAGAAAAAGACTCTGAAGTTATTTTATTGTACAGAAATCAGATGGAAGTCTGCAGACTCTTAAACCTCAGGGCTGAGAAAAAAAGTTATGAAATTTATTTAAGCATGTAGTCTATTCGAAAAAAAGGAAGTTTAAATAAAGGTATTCAATTTATTTGTTTATGTGACCTAATTCTAATGACCTTGTGGTGACCTTGTCCATTTCAGTAACGTTACGGACCAAATGCAGAAGGTGTGTATTTCCATTTCGCCAGGAATCCCGCTGCGCGGGGACATTATGATCAAGTGTTACCACAAAAAGGCTAAGACAGGACAGAGGGAGGTGGTGTGGGCGTGTCAGTTCCACACCTGTGCCATCTCTGGGTACACTCTTACTTTCGCCAAAAAAGATCTCGACGATGCTAGAACAGGTAGGATCATCACATCGACCCGAAAGGACAGATAACTCACTAAGTTATATCAACCAGGCCTATTTCATCATGTACTTTCTTTCATAAGGCTTTAACGACACCCCAAAGGACAGATAACTCACTTAGTTAATCAATCCAAGCCTTTTTAATCATATACTGTCATAAGGCTTTAACGACAGCCCAAAGGGCAGGTAACTCACTTAGCTATATCAATCCAGGCCTTTTTAATCATATACTATCATAAGGCTTTAACGACAGCCCAAAGGGCAGGTAACTCACTTAGTTATATCAATCCAGGCCTTTTTAATCATATACCATCATAAGGCTTTAACGACAGCCCAAAGGGCAGATAACTCACTTAGTTATATCAATCCAGGCCTTTTTAATCATATACTATCATAAGGCTTTAACGACAGCCCAAAGGGCAGATAACTCACTTAGTTAATCAATCCAAGCCTTTTTAATCATATACTATCATAAGGCTTTAACGACGCTCATTGAGTGATTAAGTTGCATGGTTCACTGAAATCAACAAATTAAAAAGTGATTATTTCAATATGAATAAAATGAAAAACATAGTTACACAAATATCTCCAGGTTTCGACTGCTGAAAACATCAGGAAAACACATCATCTGTTAGTGTTATGTTTCATTTTACCCATTCACCCAAAGAAAGAGTAAGTCCAATTTAAAAAATTAGGGGCGAATGAGTTAAAATCATGTTTTCCTCTGAAAATGAAAATTGATATTAAGCAGAATTCACTGGATTTAAAACGTGAATCTTGTTGAATGTTTGAGTTCAATATCATATAAAAGTTTACCTGGGTTTTGTTTTTGTTTTAGACCCTCGGTTTCCAGACGGAGGAAAGGTGGAATTTGTGTTTGGTAACAGCCAGGACAGTAACGTCAGAGGTAGGTATCCATGGTAACCATGTTTGACAACGTTAGATAGTACTGTAGCAGCAAACTCCGATAGAACACTGGTTTGGAGGGAAAATTGTCACAATAAAATACAGTCTTAGTATAAATAAAGTAAAGGTAGAGCTTATGAGCATTGCTCTGTACTACAGTATTTCTGTATAACAATATTTAACTTGTGGTAGCTCCAGGTTTCTGTATTCTTGAAACCAGGCAAAGAATGAATTCCTTATTGCCGTAATATCAACAGGTTTCTTAGAAATCCAACTTTTGGGAACAATCATATAATGACTTCAATCGGGATTGTTTCATGATCCTCTTGATGGGGGGGGGGGTTACAAAAGTTAGCTTTTCCTCAAACTTAAAATAGAAGTGTGTGTTTGTTTATACAAATAGTGAACTAATTGATGGCTCCTACAGAACTGAAGCAATGGGTCAGGTTTATTCTGAACTTGAACAAGAGGCAGACTTAATACGAACTTAGCAAGGGGCAGGATGAGACATGCTTACCATGAACTTGAGCAAGGGGCAGGCTTAACATAGAAATGTCATGTACTATTATATTTAGAGGGAAAAGCATATATAGCAATGAATAATAATTGATTTCCTCGAAATCAGTGACTTTGTAATAAAGGCGGTTAGCGGTGAATGAATCAGTAAAGGATTGGGGAAGCAACGTAGGTTAAACTGAACATTTCATTGAACTGATGTGTACTTCATTCAAACTTTGATACAATCGTTTGTAGACGTGTCTGAAGGTAAGATGGTAAAAGTGAACTAACACACACTGTATATATATATATAGTTCTAACACCTTGGTGAGAAGTTAAGCTTTATCTAGTACAACTGCTACACTTTCTGTGTGTTAAAACACTTAGGCCAAAAAAACAAAATCTGTGTTTCTACTTTCTCTATCCGAGATTTTAGTGCCTTTCTTATTCCTTTTAATCAAATTTTTAAACAAACACTGTTAAATTCTAAAAAAAAAGAGTCTGAATTCAGTTGATAGCTGAATGTCTGAACCAGACTGGATTTTTTTTTTTTTTTAATTTGAAATTATTTTGCAAAATAAAAAGTTTTCTTACCTACCTTCCCAAGAGCTGAAAATAGATACACAGTATCTTTGGTATTTTTTGGCCTTACTATTTCTAAATCACTATTTTCATGTTATTTTATAAACTGTAAATAGTATGTAAGTCATGCTGAATGTATATTCATTGAAAATATCTCAAGCCTACTGCGATTTAACTTGGAAAATGCTTCATTTTATGATCATAGGACATGGTGATTTTGTCGAAACGTCTTCACGCTGATTTTAGAAGGTTTTTAGTAGTCACATGACATCAACAACAAAAAGGAAATTAACTTATATGTCAGAAATGCCTTTAGCACTGGTATTTGATTTAAGAAAATCATTCATTTGTTTGGAATTTAAAGGCATGCTTCCAAAATTCAGTCAAAATTTCTAAACTTTGCATAATTATTTACAATCTTCATATGAACTGTTGTGAGGACATGGATTTAATTTTTGAAAATAAAATCAGATTGAATTTAAATTTTGAGATCATTCAGCGGTATATTCTTTTGAATAATTGTGTGAGCTTTTTTCACTCAATAGGTCTGTCAAACACACTCAAGTCTCATATTCTCATATTATTCTTGTGATATTGTAGTGAATTATTTTACAATTTATCGCTTCATTCTGCTTTTTACGAATTGATTTAATATCCTTGCAGTGACTAAACTCTCCATTTCACACTCTAATGTCAAAATATTTATTCAAAATATGTCACAATTTTGTCTATCGGCTTTTAACCTTTACAAAATGTCAGTATGGGTTTTCGTTACGTAAAATTGAACTTGTTTTGGTGACCTTTTCTAGAACGCGTTATTTGTAACCATAATACTTGGGACTACTATTATGTGAAGTGTTGTAATTCGGGCGTACGAGGATATTAAACAGAGACTAACTGTCTAGGCGTGGATCATACCGTTGTTTAGTGTGTGTCGTCGTAAGATAAACACGAGGTCAAGCGTTGGTGCAACTTTTCAAGATCTGTACAAGTACCAGGGGATCTGATGAAGTGCTCCCTAAACACTTATCTGTATTACCACAGATTACAATATATTTCTGTTAGGATGAGTTTTATTTCAGTTGTAATCAATCAATTTTTTGGACATTTTTTGACTCTTTGAGGTATGTGTTTCTTCTGATTCTTTCCATGCTTATGAAAGATCCAGGTAAAATTTCTAAATGTAATGTGTCGCCTTTTCATTTCTCAAAGCTTCTCTGAGTGTTTAAATATGCAAAAAATATTGTCATCGTTTTTCTATCTTTCTGATTTTTCTTATTTCAAATTCAGTTGATTTTCAATTTGGTTTAAAAGTCAGACAACTCTAAATTGTTTTCCACATTTTTCTCTCACTGTACATTATGTTTGTGCGTTTCACTGTGTCTTAAAAACACTGTTTTTTATGTTTTACCTATTTTTTATTTGAGTCCGTTAATCAATGGACTTGTATAATATTTCCTGAATGCATGTCGGTATGACATAAACTCCCTGAAAGGCTATTGGACGACCATTGTAATTATTATATCTGTATACGGTAATGCATACCTATTAGACAACTATCTGGCTAGAGACCCCTCTCCCATCTCTAGCCAGATAGTTGTCTAATAGGTATGCATTACCATATACGGGCATGTGAGCTCAGTTGTTAGTTAAGATAATAAGGAGAAGGGCTTATGAGCTTTTCTGTCAGTTAAAACTAAAGGGTGCAATTAAAAGAAATGGCACGTGTGAGCTCTTCCATTAGTTATGATGTAAGGGGAATAGCTATAGAGAGGGGTCATGTGAGCTCTTCTGTTAGTTAAGATGTAAGGGGGATAGCTATAGAGAGGGGTCATGTGAGCTCTTCCGTTAGTTAAGATGTAGGGGGATAGCTATAGAGAGGGGTCATGTGAGCTCTTCCGTTAGTTAAGATGTAGGGGGATAGCTATAGAGAGGGGTCATGTGAGCTCTTCCGTTAGTTAAGATGTAGGGGGATAGCTATAGAGAGGGGTCATGTGAGCTCTTCCGTTAGTTAAGATGTAGGGGGATAGCTATAGAGAGGGGTCATGTGAGCTCTTCCGTTAGTTAAGATGTAGGGGGATAGCTATAGAGAGGGGTCATGTGAGCTCTTCCGTTAGTTAAGATGTAGGGGGATAGCTATAGAGAGGGGTCATGTGAGCTCTTCTGTTAGTTAAGATGTAGGGGGATAGCTATAGAGAGGGGTCATGTGAGCTCTTCTGTTAGTTATGATGTAAGGGCGAGAGCAACAGAGAAGGAGCTTGTGAGCTTTTCCATTACAAGGAAAGAGTCCATGAGAAAGAGAGCTTGTGAGCTTTTCGTTTAGTTAAGATACCAAGGAAACAATCAGATAGAGAGAGCTTGTGAGCTTTTCTTTAAGTTAAGATAGCAAGGAAAGAATCAAAGAGAGGCAGCTTGTAAGCTTTCTTTGAGTTAAGATACCAAGGAAAGAGTCAGAGAGAGGAAGCTTGTAAGCTTTTCTGTGAGTTAAGATACCAAGGAAAGAATCAGAGAGAAGGAGCTTGTGACCTAGCTGCACTGTTAGTTAGGATAACAAGCAGAGTTGGGGGGGAAGGGGCATAATTGAACCCTCATATTAATTAAGAAAACATGGGAAAGGTCTACAGATATGATTTTATTTATGAATTTTGTATACTTTTAAAATGGGAACATTTTAAAAAGATGGTTAAAGAAGATTGCACGAGGCGTCAGGTATAATATTTTAATGGCAGCAACAGTCTGTTTCCCACCAGGCGGAGCTGTAGGACCTGATCTGTTAGATAGAAGTGGCGTGTCAGAAACATGCATTTACACTCTGGGTGGGCGTCCTTCCAACACAGTGTAAATTTGTGTTTAGTTATTTTGATTTCGAAACGCAATTTTATGATTTTCAAAGAAACGGTTACCATGGTAGCTTAAAATTACAATAATATTTGTGCGAGACAAAAGGTAATGGGATATTAAAAATGCATGAGGTATTTAGGTGACTGCAGGGTGTATTTTTGTGGAGCGTTTTAGTTTGTGGTAAAAAGGATGACTGATTTGTCACTCACAGATTTACTGTTTCCATTAAATAAATACTGCGGAAACACGCTGGTTACCTGCACGACAAGTTTGTAAAAAATATATAGATATCTGTACATGTATATCTTTATATTCAGAAATTATCTCATTTTGGACAGACTTGTTAAGATAATGCCTCTTTTAAAAGCAGACCTAGAACTGTACGGCACCAGATAGATAGACTGGCACCTCGAACCATGAGGAGCCTAATGTTCTGTCTGATTGCTTGTTGTAACGTCTAATTCAAGTTTGATAAGTTTTTCCCCTCATTAGTTGAACTTTAAACAAAAGGGTTTATAGACTTGAGAATTTTAATGCTCACTAGCTGGAGTTAATTCTAGAAGAAATGTGTTTCTTGAGGTCAACCTGATAGCAAATGTGTCAAACTTTTAGTAGATAAATGTTTAAGGGGCTTCAATTTTACTGGGTCAAATTAGTTTGGGCCTTGGATCAAAATTGTGGGGGTTCATTTTTGGCAACCCAGTTACTAAGGCAACCATCCCAACTGCCTCTACTGAAGAGCAACATATTTGCTGAGTTACCATTTCACTCAAGCCACAAATTTATTGAAAAGAAACCCTTTATGAAATACAATTGCTACACAGTAATTCAACACACATTGAAATCGAAATATTTATTTGAAAGAATTCAAAATAATTTTGAATCCGAGAAACTTTCTTCAGTTTCATAAATTGATAAAGAAAACTATATCTTGATACATTGATATTTGAGATGGACAGCTGGTTACTATGACCTGTTCAATAATGAAAAGTTCAAAAGGGGCATTTGTGAAATAACCCTGTCTTGTTTTTTTGAACCAATCAAAGCCGCTGCCACATTTATATACCTTTTAATCGTTTCAGTGACGGACTTTAAGTCTGACGTCACAGTACCAGTGGACGATGGCTCTGACGCTCTGGTGAGATGGGATTCGTATGAAAATTTTTCACATGTCAAAAATGCTGATGGTACAGTTAATGGTAAGTCGCTATGTTGGTAATCAATTTTTAGAAATTTCTTTCAGGCAATGGTCGTGGGATTTGCTGTCAGCTTTGTCGTAAATGTTCTGTGTTGTAAAGTGTTGTACAAACTTTGGTAAGAAGCATGCAGGCTACGTACTTCTTCAGATTATTTGTGTGAAAGCTTTCTGTATTTGTGGGCCTCTTTGTCGTTGACATCATCGATAGAACAGATTGTTACAAATGTGCAAATCAGGTTCAATTCTGACTAAGACGAAAAATGAAACGTCCACTTTTTTCACGACGGTTCATATATTTGTATGTAGTTTTTACCAAGTTTGTTGTCTTTGAAAGTGTTCTTTCATTCATTGAATCGTACAAACTAGAATGTACTTCTGTGGTTTAAAACAAGGATGGCCTAATCATTGAGTCTGGACTTGAATTTGACAGCGAAGTACAGTAGAAATCTCTTTTACAAGGATGACCTAATCATTGAGCATGGGATTATAAACAGTCAACTACGGTAATGAAAGAAAAGCGTAAAAAATAAAGACATAGGTTTGAGTTTGATGAGTCGTGTCATTGGTTAGTTTGTTGGTGTGTAGGAGATGGCTTATCTACGTAATTAGCGTGTAGGAGTTATTTGTCTCACTAAACGCTCATTAACTGTCGGAACTAATTATCACAACTCCGGTGAAGATGGGAATGACATGGTTGTTTACTACGATTAAATCACACAGTATAATCAAACCCGCTGTCTCTAGATTTCCTGTACTCATTAGGATATCAACAATCACAGTTAAATATTTTAGAAAAATGTGTTTTATAAAAACTTTACTTGTGTAATGCCCACTTAGTCGACTACTGTTTCATTATCGTAGTTTCCCTATTGTTTCATTACCGTAGTTTCCTTATAGTTTCATTACCGTAGTTTCCCTTTAGTTTCATTACCGTAGTTTCCCTATTGTTTCATTACCGTAGTTTCCCTGCAGGAATGGAATTCCTCCTCTTGTTTACAATTTGTCTTTGCATGTTTTAAAGTTTTTGATTTGTTATGAATCATCTAAAAAGACTTTTTTTTCAAAAAGGAGGGTTGGTGGGGAGTTTGTTATTTCATTTTGTATTTCAACTTCCTCTTTATTTAACTCATTCACCCCTGAAATTTCATAATGAACTTAATTCCAACCTTTGAATTAGAAGAGTTCAAATGTGTCTTTAGGGGTAAGTGAGTTAATCCCCAATATCATCTTGACATATGATAACACCAGGGCCCATATTCACGAAACCATTTTCATGAATACGGGCCCAGATGTCCTAACCCTTAGCAATTTCAGAGATATCAAGTGCTGATTTTACTGCCTACAAACTGATCCATGGATTCGAGTAGAAAGATTTTAATGATCAAGTTATTAATTGAAAAATTTAGGCAAGAAAAGGAACTTTTCACCAAATTAACAAAGTTGGAATATCATAAAATGCAACCTCTAATTTGATTGGTGCGTTTTATGTTACAGTAAATTCTATTGGTTCTATAGAAATTTCATTGAGGGGTATATATAGACGTTGATCAGTAAAATCAGAATGAACATTTCAGTTTAGTAGTAGATTTATTTGTTTTAAAACTAGATAACTTTACATATCCCGAATCAAAAATGAAAACGGCTCAGAATTTTCAAGCCATGAAATGAAAATGAAAACAGCACTCAGAAATGTATAACATGTAAATAGGTATAAACAGAATAAGTGTTAGATAGATTACGAGTGTGGGTGGTGTGTGTAGGGGTAAGTAAGTACAAGTGTTTGTTATCAGTGCAGAAGATGTGCACTGGTGCATCACGTAGGGGAGGGGGGGTAAGGGGAGGGGGGTACAGGAGCAAGGGGCACACCTGGTACGGCTCAGGCTTCGGGAACGGTCGATTTACACAATTAAAAAATTAAGAACAAGGCACAACTTTTCAATTCACACCTCCAAATTAAGGAGAGAAATAGACACTCCTGTGTCAAGTATTGATTGGGAGACACGTTTGTTGCGTAAGTCACCGGCAGACATATAGATATAAACACACATCACGTAGTTATAATCCACATTGGCCATCTATTTCTCTCAGTCTATCTCGTGCTTTATGTGATTCACACCATTTTTTCTGTTTCTGTTTTTGGTGTCTCGTCTATTCTGGGAGAAGCTGAATACTTGTGGTAAAAATGGGAGCGTGTCAGAGTATTATGCATCGACTGTAGGGAGGGGATGAACAGTTGGGGTAAATTTAGAAGCGTGTCTGCAGCCATGCATCGTTTGATATAGAAGTAGCATTCGTCTAGATCTGCTTAGCGGGATGCTTAAACCTGAATGAAACGGGGCATTTCAAAGTCCAGAATCTTTATTTTTATTTTTGGAAACTTTATATTTGAATTTAATTAACAAAATACTTGAGGGTTTTTTTGTGGGAGAAACAATTATTATTTTTCGACAAAAATATTCTCATCAAAAACCTGTTATACAAGGTTTGCTTTTGATAAATTTGTCGGTTCAGAAGATTTTCTTTATCGGAAGATTTATGTTTGATATATCGGTATAGAGTCAGCCCTAAACATGTGTTACATAAGTATAACCATTGGTTGGTTCCATGTGTTTAAGCCATTCTGTCCATAAAACATAAGATTATGCCACTGTTTGGAACGCTGTTGCGTGTGTTTATGGAATCAGATGTTTCCTGTCCAGAAACTTGATCCAATAGCCGCAGTCATATCTGAAGTTTTATTATATTCATACAGACAAGTTTTATCATCTTAAAAAAAATCATCAGAACCTTGGTTTTACCAGCTGAAATTATCTGCAAAACATTACTGACAAATTCTGAAAGACACACAAGGAAAATACCTTTTATTATTTCCTTTGTAAAGGTCTGATGATGTGATTTTAACGCTGAGCATTGATTTATTGCAACTGTTTGTACGATCGGAAAAATAAACACCTATTGCCTTTATATACACCTGAAAACTGAATAAGTAAATTTAATGACTGTGGTTGTTTATGATGGACGAGTACGTAAACAGTAAAAATTACCCGCTAACCAATATGTGGTTTCGGATGCTGACTTACAAGGCTATCTAAGACCACTTACGTAGCATGAAGAAGACGCCGATTTAACGTGGTTCACAACTCTGATAACGCTCACCTACAAATACAGCGCCACTAAATAGCTGAAGTCTTTTTTGTAAATCGCTTTAAGAAGTTGTTTGCCCGATAAAAAAAGTGTGTAGAGTTTGTAGCAGTGATATTTTTATCAGTCCTGTAACTCCCCGGTAGCTATTTCCTGCTCAGAGATAAGGGATGGAGGGACGTCTCTCTGTTAACAGGAAGCAATACAGAGGTCTAGAGAAGACAATTTTATATTTACATATGTGTACGTTGAATGTGTTACCTTCAAACAGTATGTTGCCTTTTAATTCTAGTTTCTTGATTTTCCTAATAGCATTTTTTAGACATGAAAATAAAAAATATCAAAAATTTGAAATTGTTTGTGTTCAGAAAGCAAAGTCTCTTTAAGTAAAGAAACTATTTTTAAATGAAATTCCATATTGTCATAGCTTCATTTAATTAGACTATTTATAGGAAGTTTGGGGGGGGGGAGGAGAGAGAGAGAGGAAAAATATTAATTTCTAGGGTTGGCAATCAATGTTTGTTTCTAATTTCTTGGAAATAGATCCTTGTCGTTTATTAAATATTATATTAATGTCTACATGTATGTAGGATTGACAGGCATCCATTGGTGCCCAGCTTTTGGTATGTATATGTTTATGTGTGTGGGGTGCGGAGTGGCCATGTTGTGTGGTTACCATGCAGACGGAAGTAAATTTGTTGATATTTAGAGTCAGTTAGCATATAAACATGGATAACTTGGAGATAGACTCTGGTTTATGTGATGTAAACACTGTCAGTTGGTGGAACAGTACAATCTTTCTTACAGTCACCTTGATAGTCAGGTTATGTCCTAGAGGTTTCAATCCTTGTTAGAATCTGTCTGAAAATACATATATTTCTGTCCTTGATCTCTATCCATTGTAGATTCTGTCTTGGGAAACCATAATTTCAGTTTCTATCAATGTCATATCTGTCCATAGATAAAACTCTGTTTTAAGAAACGACTTCATTTTCTGTTGAAGTCATTTCTGTTCATAGATAAGAATCTGTCTTTAGAAACGATAACCTTCATTTTCCATTAAAGTTGTATCTGTTCATAGTTAAGATTCTGTCTTTGGCAACCATGGCTTCATAACTTCAATTTCTATCAAAATGGCCTCTGGTCTGAGATTACCTGACTTCTGTCAAAGTGGTCCATGTTTGTGGATAGCAGAATCTGTTTTGAGAGGCCATGATGACGTCTATCAAATTGGTCTTTGTTAATTTCAAGAGTAAACTTGTGTTGAGGGACAGAATGTCTGCCAAAGTTGTTTGTGTCAGTAAGTAGAACCTGTCTGGAGATACACAACTTCTGTATAAAGGCCTCCTACTAGTGGCCTGTAGATTTTACCTCTCAAGATAGGTAGAAATGAGCCCGTTCTAGACATGTAGATAGGGAACCCTTTCTAGACAGGTAGAAATGTGCCCTTTCTAGACAGGTAGGAGAGTGCCCTTTCTAGACAGGTAGATAGTGAGCTCTTTCTAGACATATAGAAATGTGCCCTTTCTAGACAGGTAGAAATGAGCCCTTTCTAGATAGGTAGAAATGTGCCCTTTCTAGATAGGTAGAAATGTGCCCTTTCTAGACAGGTGGAAATGCACCCTAAAGTTACTAACAGGGAAGATAATTTCAAAAAGTTTTCTGTGATATCTTGTTAATCCAAGTCATGAAAATGTTTGCTGTGGAGGCTTAAGAGCATTTTCAATATTATGTAAGAAATGATACTGATGAGATACAAAATATGAACTGTTTTAACATGTTATTTGATAAATAGGATGTTAAGAAGGTGTTTGTGTATAGACAGAGACTGTTTGTGGATATTGAAGGCCTGTAGGGTGA